AATGCTGGCAGCACCGGGAATCTAATCATACACTGTTACATGCCGCATGCACATCTTGCAAAAGCACATGAGAAACTGCGAGGGAATTCATAGACAAACGGTTCGATCTACATTGTATGTACATGTACATGTAGGTGTACTTCTCTGCATGTTTCAAATGTCATTCCACTTTATGCATACTACATGTATAGGTGGTTTAATGAATGTATTGTTATTCAAAACGACAGATCTTACTCTGAAATACTTGTAGGCCTACATGTTGAAATTCAGAATTGTGCTGTTCTAAAACAGCTTTTTTTTATCTGTTCACTTTCCTGATTAGCTGAAATCTTGACCTAAAAAGCACTTCAAGATAATACTTCAGTGTATCATCACCGTGACAGGAATTAGAGGTGCAATATAATTTTTTGTTTTATAAATTCAACCAAAATTAGCAAAGTTATGTTCATGGGAAGGATTTACAGTATACAGTCATTTGAAAAAGTAAAGCAAAGAGAAAGAGCTAAAAAGATTCTCATATACAGTCGAGCATTAAAAACAGACTCAGAACAGAAAACATCCTCGTTATACTGCAGTCATGTTGAGATAACAATTTTAGGAAACAACATCAGATGCAAAGTTGGAAAAAAAAATTCTCCATGGACCTTGCAACTAAGAAAACCTACACCAACTAGCCTACATGTATGTAGCTGGATAGCAATGTGATTGAGTCAAGTCACCTCCATCGGCCATGTAAAGTAATAGCGTGTTTGTGTTGTTGGCATCATCAGCCGATGAAGGAAGGTTTTAGACTGGCTGCATTCTCGGATTTGTTTTTCACTCATGGGGAATTTGACCCTTGCTTGCGAGACCAAGCCAACGTGTTAAACAAAAACTGTACATGTATGTGTTGAGCGAACCTGGTCTGTAGGTCGAGTCTGTACGGTGTGTCCTGTACGACATACATGTACATACATGTACATGTATGTCATTTATCAATTTACTTCATCCCAAAACAATTAAATATATTGTTATGACCATTCATCAATGGTTCTTCCCAGTATCGCTATTTAAACATTCAATGGTCGTTGGGAAGGATAGTTAATTTTTAGACAAAATAGATGAAAAGAAAGAAGAAAACATGCATGTTTTATGAGACACATTGTATGTTACATGTGTGTAATATATTTGAAGATAAGTACATTTAGGACTTTGTAGGTCGTTAAAGTAATTTATTAATACCAGGTACTTTACATTATTGTGGGAGTAGTTAAATTGTTTACAAATTTTTTCTGAGAATGTCAGAAAAGATAGTCTAGGATCCGTGGAAGTACATTTATCTGAACATGTTCATGTAGATTAATCATTCTATTATTTGTACTGGAAATTTGAGAAAAGGTATTTCTGAAAGGTTTTTAAAAAAAATTAATTGACTTCTAGAAATGAAAACACAAATGCTAGAAATCACCCTGACATTTTGAGATAAATGCTTTTACATTTCGGAAAAGAGAATATTGACAACATACATGTATATTTTCGATATAAATAACAGTTTTTAAGTATTTGTATCACACAACTCTAACATGTATGCAGATATTAATCGCCATAATGTACAGTATATTACTGTTTGAGAATTGCGCATGGTGTGACATAAATTGCTTATTTTTTCCATCTGCTACTAATTAGCTGCTAATTTGATTTGAAACCTCTAGGGACAGTGTCTCTCATGGTTTCATCAGTATAAATGATGACTTCATAATAAGTTGGAAACTTCATAATCTGTCTCTCTGATTGTGTTGATATGATTGAGGAAAGAAATATTACCAAATGTACGAACATTCATAGACAAGGACTAGAAATCTCTCTTCTTTACTATACTATGTGCAATACTATTGCATGCATACTTGCATAGTATTGAAAATATAGTAGATGTTAGAAACTCTTTCTCATAGGCTCTAGACACATTTGTCTATCAGGTTAATTGATTTTATGGAAAATTAGCAATAACATACAATATCATTTAAATATTTTTTTAATTTTTATTATTATCATTGTTTTTTGGCCCCCCCCCCCACACACATACATGTATCTACATGTACACATACAGTCTAACTAGGTCATATTCATTTTCAAAATTACAGGCATTTCATGTACAGTGTAAATACATCTAAACATAGTACAGACCACATACTCTTAAGTCAAGCCCTAAAGAAAATATGTGAGCGAATCATGCAATCATTTAATCTTTTTGGTTCCAAAGCCAAGTTGTAGAAATCTTACGTTACATACTGTATGTTAATTCTTCCTAATGAATAAACAAAAACAAATAACATGAATTGTCGTTGTAATGAAATCCTAGTTTCCACTGACCGACTTTTGGGTGCCTTGAGCAAGATGCTTATGATATATTGACGTAATTCTGGCTGACCCAGATCTCTGTCCTTTATATAGCCGAATCTAAGGACACCAATCTCCAATTACACCCTCCCCCCCCCCCCCCCCCCCCACCACCACCTTCCCCTTCCCCTCCCCCACTAAATAATAGCCAGAGATGATGCACGTGGTAGTGAGCTTGTAAATTTCATTAAACCCAGCGAGCATGTTTACATGCGTTGGTACAGGGTACTACCTGCTCGTTTGTTTGCTGTTCACCCATTTCAAATAATTTGTACATTTGTGGAGAGAAAGGGGCCGTCTGATGACGTTCATCCCTCCTCTGACATTTTCAGCGATGCCTTTATCGAATTGAAAGCCACTCACAGTTCAGCAAATAATTGCGTGCCCCTGTCTTCTTTTCCCGATATATACAACTGTATGCAACAACTCCAGTTGCCATGCCGACCATTGAGAGTAAGCTTGGCTGCATAAAGGCCTCCTCAATACATGCCATGAACATCACTCTGACTGAAAAATACACACTATGATTGCGTTTATTCAATGAATTGTAAATTTTCCTCTTATTATGAAACAAATCTCCAGGTAAACTACATGTACATAGAAGTCATGTTGTTAGATTTGTTGAGTTTATTGATTGCAATGTGCACTTGAATTGTTTAATAAGAATAAGACCATGCTTTTTGATGGAAAATATGAAGACAAAAATTTACTTCATGACTGTGTTTATTCTATGAATTGCAAATTCTCATCATATATGATGATCTACATCTTACAGTAAAGTAGGGGCTTATACACAATTTAAAGTCCTTCCACTTGATTGATTGATTGGGTGTGTATGTGTATTTGTATTTGAATAATTGAATTATGATAGTGTTTTTGAATTTATGTTCTCATCTTATTTTATGAAAACAATTCTACTAAACTACACTGTAGGAGCTTTTTTGTTGTTTGTTGCATAAGACTGTGTATGCATGTTGTACACAATTTTTTTGGTGGAAAAATAAATTGCAATATCTTATGTTATAATATACAAATGTTCTATGTATGGACATACACACTGTACTTGTAGTAGTGTACATATACAATTGTTCAGGTTTGTTGATTGCATGTCTATTTGAATGACTTAAGAAGACCTCCATTTGTGACTGCAAAATTTGGTTTTATGGGGTTAAAGATTTTCACAGTATTTTCATCATTTCATGAATTGTCAATGCTCATCTTGTTGTAAAACAAATCTTCTTGCAAACTAAAATTCCGGGCTTCACAAAATGTAAGGTTTGTTGACTGCATGTCTGTTTGAATAATTCAATGAGTTTGTTATTTTGGGATGGCAAAAATATAACACATTAAGCTTGTTTGAAGTAATTTCTCTTTTTTAACTGGATTGTAACATTTTCATCTTATTGTGAAACACATCCCCTTGTATAGAGGGATTCAGAGCTGTACGAATTGTAAGGGTTGTTGATACATGTGTGTATACATGTACTTGAATAATTAAATGAGGAGACCCTCGTGTATTTGAAGAAAAAAAAGTATGAAGAGGAGTTGATGAATGCACTGTACCCTCTTAGCAAATTGCTTTTTACATATTATCTAATGACATTTTCAGGAGATACGTACGGTATGTAATTTTGTCTCCTCAAATTTATTGTTGGCATACTGTAATCATTTGTGCTGGATAGCATTGTGAAGTACATGTATTAAGGCCTTAAAGTCTTATAACATTTGGTTATGAAGTACAGTGTGTATAGAATATGAGCATGCATGCAATTATGGTTAAGAATGATGAGATGAATTGGAAAAAGCAAGTTTTCTTGCGTGCATGAACACGAACACGAACATGAACGTTGAAATGAACTCTTGAAGAATTTGTGTTAATTGAAATAGAGAAGATGATTGGAAATTATTCTTCTGCTTAATTGCACACATGAAGTTGATTTGTGTTCTATAATGCACAATCCATTTAATAATGAACATTGTGTATAAAAACTGTATTGAGAGGGTTGAAAAACTTGAAATTAATGTATTGGTATATTGCTCTGTAATACACTTCATGGATTACTGATTAGTGCATATTTTCCACCATAACAAATTAAGAATGACATTCAGTGACAGTCTCCATGTTTGCTCTTGGCCATAAAGTTGGAATAAATTTGTTTTACCCGTTTTTCATGAAATAATTGTGAAAATATAATGTACAAGGTATCTTTAAAGTACATTTACAATTACATGTATCTTCTCACAACTTTATTGATCAAACTTTATTGATCAGTTAAGTTCTGAGAAGATATAAATTGTATCTATCAAGAATAAATTACATTGTCATATTCTATCATATTGTTAGTGATAACAAGTTTTATGAGGGCAAATGATGGAAAGTATCACCTCTGGAAAAAAATGTTGATTATGTTTTTAAAAAAAAAAGGATAATTGATTTTGTGATACAGTATAATTCATGTGTTTTTCTTTGTAATCAATATAATTATGTGTTTCTCATGTATGTATTATTCAATTAATAAATGATGGGGAAAAAAAGAAAAAAGTTTTATGAAATATGACCCAGATTTTTGGTTGTAAACATGACATTCACTCTTTCCTCTTTTTTTCCATCCTACCACTTGCAGAAAAAGTAGCAATAAAGATCCTGGACAAGACCAAGCTCGACCAGAAGACCCAGCGGCTTCTGTCCCGGGAGATCAGCTGTATGGAGAGGCTCCACCATCCCAACATCATCCGTCTCTATGAGGTGGTGGAGACGCTGGCCAAGCTTCACCTGGTCATGGAGTACGCTCCGGGTGGGGAACTCTTCACCAAGATCTCTAACGAAGGCAAGATTGCCGAGGCAGAATGCAAGCCCATCTTTGCTCAGGTTACCTCGGCTGTCTACCATATGGTAAGGAGATTTAATAGGAGAAAAGTACAGTATAATTCTTCCAGTTCAAAGAACTTCATTTTTAAAGCTGTTGCATCCAATGGGAACATCCCCATAATGGCTTAAAGGTATAGACCAGTTCTGGTCATGCGATTGCATTGTGAAAGAAACGTTGTGGAATCGATCAGAAAAGGTTGATCATCTAGCATATAAGTATTGGTGTGTACTGCAAGGTTCTGGAATCATGAAAATGATAAGAAATTTGATCCAATCTTGGTAAAGTTACAAGCACTGTACACGGAAAGATGTATATAGGACTAAGCGATATCTATCCAGTCCGGATAGATATAATAATTTACCAAATATATCAATTAGTAGGCGGTTTCCTGGCAAAATTTGTATCATCACATATTAGTCAAAACATATTCTTTCACATGATTGGTAATAAGAGCTTCCATTTCATTTTTTGAAAGGAGGGCATTTCCAAAACTGGTCTTTACCTTTAGAGCTGTTGCATCCAATGGGAACATCCCCATAATGGCTTAAAGGTACTATCTATTAAGTGCTTCCCTTGTCAGCTGTTAATGCAAAGTCCATCCATAATAATGACAGCAGGGAAAAACAGAAGAATTGCGCCATATTTGTAACTACTTTCTTTGATTTTTCATTTTGTCCCCTTTACATATTAATCCCACAATTTTTTCAGTATGCCTTTACCAAAAAGATGCAGAAAGCAAAGAAAGAAAAAAAAAGGGCAATTCAATCATTTTTGATTGAAATATAATTGATTGAATCTTTTATCAGGTATAGAAAGAGAATGTTTCCAGTATAATTAGAGTGTAGTGCATTGTACCTTTGATATTGTTTCTATAAAGCACTTTACAATATATACACACATGTATTTGTATTTACAATCCATGCCTGATCTTACAGAATGTTACATCAGAGCTTTGTGATAAGGCTGATGAATTACATTTATGGCAAATTACAATATACTGTACCTGTAGGCCAGTTTTAGATCTCTTCATATTTTTTAGCAGAGCTCTCTCTGAATTTATTTGAGCTCATTTTGACCTTTTTAAAGCTAAATTACTCCCATTTATGATTTTTTAGCTTGAGGCTTTCATGAAATTGAAGTTTGTTTTAAATGAAAGAGTTGCTTAAAACTGACATTGTTGAGCAAAACTCCCTGCATTTAGACTTTGACTATCGGATGTTCATTACTCTTAATTAGGTCACCTTGCTCGTTTAAAACAGGCTCAGCGGAGGACAATTTGAGGCAATGAAAACACATTTACTCTAAAGTGTTCATTAGGGTGTCCCTCAATTGCCTGGAACGTCTGGCCAAATTATATTATGGTTATACATCCCATGCATTCATCCCCCTCTGGTTTTCATTTCATTAGTTTAATGAGATGTTGTATAAAGTGTTTGCTGGTTTTAATATGATGTCGATCAGACATGCTTTTTGTTGTTGTTTCCTCACAGGCTATTTGCTCCGAATGTTGACATTGGGGGGAAAGAGGCATAGATCAAAGTAGATTGTTTGATTAATTTCTCTTCTCTCCTCCCCTCCTTTTCTCTCCTCTCTTCTCCTCCTTTTCTCTCCTCTCTGTCTTTCTTTTCTGTCTCTCTCAAATGTTGCTCTGTCCTCACTCGCTTTTTCTTTCTCTTTATCTCTCTCTCCTGTTTCTCCTGTGTGTCACTTCTCTCTCTCTCCCCATCTTTCTCTCACTTTCTCCTTTATTTTCTCTTTTTCTTTTCTCTTTTTCTTTCAACCTGTAGCACTCGAAGAATATAATTCATCGGGACCTGAAAGCTGAGAATGTTTTCTATGCAGCCAATGGATATGTCAAAGTGGGAGACTTTGGCTTTAGTACTTATTGCAAGATGAGTGACACGCTCAATACGTTTTGTGGATCACCACCGTATGCGGCTCCAGAACTCTTCAAAGATGAGAACTACATTGGTCCGCCCGTGGATACCTGGGCTTTAGGAATCATGCTTTACTTCATGATGACGGGTGTGATGCCTTTCCGCGCCGACACTGTTGCGAAACTCAAAAAGTGCATCCTGGATGGGCAATTTACCATTCCATCGTATGTATCTAGCAACGGCCAACTACTGATTCGGGGCGTACTGAAGCAGCCTCCGCCGGATAGGTACACGATTGATCAGATCAAGAGCTCCCAGTGGTTACAAGGTCAAGAGTATCCTCCACCTCATCCCTCCTATCACCTCACACCATGCTTCAGGAGAGAGTCGGCAAGCAACGAAGAAATCAATGTCTTGGACCAGCTCAAGGCTCTGGGCATCAAGGACGATCAGCTGGAGAGCACGCGAGATCAGGACTCGCGCAATAGCATTACGGGTACCTACCGCATCGCGCTGCACAGGCTGCAACGGAAGCGCCTCGAACCGCCCGTTCAACCGCCCCCACAACAGACTAAAGGCAAGACCTCGCGCCCAAGCAGTAAAAAGAAAAGCAAAGACAGCAACAAGAATAACAAACCCTCAAAGCTCTGTACTATATTATAGCATTATTTTAGAAGTGTTTTTTATTTTCTTCACGATATAGATATATTTATAGAAGTCTGGATGTACATACTCAAGAATATGACTCTATCTACACAATCAGGTTGTGATATTGGTACAGATTTTATAAATAATAAAACATTTATTATGCAATATATTTACATTCAGAGGAATGCATGCAGCTAAAGTTGGAGTTGTAATGTACATGTCAGACAGACAAGGAAGTCATGTCAAGCTCTCTGTCACATGTTGCTTGCTTTAGTACGTCATAGATTGATCGCTCGCGAGTTAATTGGCTCTCATATTTGCCATAAGTAGTCAGTACTTCCCCCCACAGTACCATTGCATGTCTCCCCAGTATTGTACCCTTCATCAGTGTCTAATATCACATTTATATTGGCTAATTATCGGGAGGTTCATCGTGATAATTGGAAATGAGTGATGTTGGTATTTAAACCAAACAGGTGAACACTTCCAATTGATATTGCTTGTTATACCATACTACCTAATCTGCAACATCCATACATAAAAATGCATGTGTACATGTGAGTGTTGCAGTTTATCAATACCAAGGTTTACCGTACCTGTTTGCTCGCTGCATTATTTGCCAAGAATAATTTTTGTATCATCATGCAAACTTCATTTTGAACAGGACTTACATGTATATCAAATCAGCATCTACACATACATGAACATGTACCTGTAGGTGTAAACCAGCTCAAAAGGAATGTAGAATTTTGCAGCATGGTGTTATCTAATTGTTTCTCAATCATGGTTATTAGTATTATAATTGGTAATTGATATTGATAGAAACACAAGAAATGAAGGGAAGATAATAAAGTCACCCAGAAGGTCTAGAGGTAATATACAGATGGTATTTTTTCATTGGAATAGAAGTTGTTACAGAATTGGCATATTTCCGACTTATGCCTATATGAATGAAGGTCAAGGGATTATTTGAGTGAATGATTAAGAATTATTGGGGTCAGCAGAGAGAGAGAGAGAGAGAGACACACACACATATATATATATAGAGAGAGAGAGAGAGAGAGAGAGAGAGAGAGAGAGAGAGAGAGAGAGAGAGAGGAGGGGGAGAGAGAGAGAGATGAGAGAGAGAGAGAGAGAGAGAGAAGGAGGGGGAGAGAGAGAGATGAGATAAAGAGAGAGAGAGAGGGAGAGAGAGAGAGATGAGATAAAGAGAGAGAGAGAGAGATGAGAGGTAGAGAGAGAGGGGTAGAGAGAGAGAGAGAGAGAGAAGGGGGGGGGGGGGAGAATGAAGGGTAAAACAAGTCAGCAAAACAAGTTGGAGGGATAGAAAATTATATAAAGACAAGTGCATGATAAAAAGAGACAAGAGAGTGGGAGAGAGAGAGAGAGAGAGAGAGAGATTGATGGATGGGGGAATAATGAATAGAGTTCAGGTAAGAGACATGAAAGGATGTAAAAGCAAACCAATAATATCAAAATAGTACACTATTTCTATTCAACTATTTAATTGAAATTACATGCAAGTGTGTACCTACATTGTTGGTCTCAAAAATTCTAATCATGGTAGTGAAGTTTCATCGTCCAGTAATATCTTCTATTGGGCATTAAAGTAATCTAAAAGAAACAGCAGATTTTAACATTTCATACAAAAATATTTATGTTTTACATATGTCATGGTCATGGTCCCTCTCGAGCTAAAACCCAGATGTTTTTTTTAAAATTGGAGCAAAATATTTTACTGTACTACTCCTGTTATCAAATCATACCGCTTGCTAACTTAGTGAAAGGATAGATCAAGAAATGCAGTAAGATTCTTGCATCACCCTTAACATTTGCAAGTATGAATACTTCTACTTGTAAGATTATTAAACAATAAAAAAGAAATTGAAATCAGACATGATTTTACCAATTACCCTTTAACCTGATGTGTCTATTTGCAACTTTTCTTAATCATTGACAATCAATATGAAAAATGAAAGCATATTCAGCGATTTTCCTACAAGAAGTGAAGCGAGTGATGATGGTATGATCTTTCAAGAGTCTAAAGGTACAAGTCTTTATGAGCTAACACCCTTCTGGCTCTCAGCAGACAATATGCAGTGAAAAAAATACACGGGGGCTCAGGGCGAAATAGCCCCCAAAAGTCCCAAAAGAGCCCCCTTAAATTTGCATAGAGTTCCATGCAAAACAAATTTTAGAATGTTATTTTCATGCAGGCAATGTTGTAGCCCCCGAAATTTTAGATATTAATGTTTTCCCTGACAATATGTTGCCTTCTTTTTAACATCTGGCCCTATGAAATGCAGTTACATTTTGTAAAAACAGTTTAATGATATCATTGTCAATTATGACTTGTGAAGGATTAGTGTCTGTTGAGAGCCAGAGGGAGGTTTGTATCATTTTCAATAAAATGTAATACCTTTCTGGCTCTTACTAGAGATATAAGAGAATGCAGATACAGGATAGAATTTGAAACTACAAATTATGATCTGCCCCTTGAGATTTGGACGTGCATTATTAATTGGATATGAATAATGAATTAGAATGAAATCGATGCACGTATTCATATCAAAAAATGCAAATGGTAAAGAAGAAAGAAATGGTAATGTTTGGCCCTGAACTAAGAGGCAATAACAAATGATGGATGTATTCACCCCACTCCGCGATCGTGATCGAAGGTATACCATATAAAGGGGTACTTTTCACGCACCAAAGTCCGGCTCGTAGTACACAAAAATCTGGCGCGTATTGACGTTACACACCCGACTTATGGGGGGTGTTTTCAAAAGGAGGGAACATGCATATGCGTACCCTAAATAATACTGAGGGGGGGGGGGGCGGGATTGTAGGTAATAGAATAGAATATGACGAATGATTGTGGAGAAAAGGCTTTTATACCAGCAGCTCTATTTGTAGAGAATGCTCTTCCACTGAGCAGAACCCCTAAGGACATTTAAACAAGTCTATATAGTTATCATGTTCTCATCATATTTTTTGTTAAACATGCATCCCCCTCTCCCTCTCTCGTCCATTTTATTCATGTAAATCATTCTCGATATCCCTCTGCGTGTACTTGATCAATGGCGCAATTTAATATCTGTATTAATTATCATTAATAATGATCCAACCCTTAATGGCCCGAATTCACAAAGGAGGTTTGTCGACAAACCTTGGTTTTCGTGCATCATATGACGCGTTTTGACGTGTTTTTACCCAAAAAACGCGTCATTTGACGTACGAAAACGATGTTGACAAACCTCCTTTGTGAATTCGGGCCATAATGTTTAAAGATGAATAATGGGCTCCGAGAGCAAAATAGAGCTGTAAATTGCATCATTTTGAGAAGATGGACCTTTATATCGTTCTTATATTCAGTATGCTGCCAAAACACTGTGTGAATAAACCCTTTCATTGAAATTAATGCAAATGATACTTTTTTTTATAGAAATGATGCTGTTTTTATTTTCAAGCGCTGGTGTGAAGTAAATTATGTACCTTGTGAATATGTAAACTGAATTGAAAGCCTACATCTATCCATTCTATTGAGTTTGAAACCAAATAAAATATACAAAATCTGATATGTTGTTGTCCTTTCTCGTTTTCTGCCCTTCTTTTGTCTATGTAAATTGATTGAATGTGAATAATAATAAATCATTTGTTTAGTATTATATATTGAAAGAAAAAAGACAGAAAAGGGGGAATGGACATGTACCTGTAAAAAAAGGTAGGCCGACATTACTTGTGTAGGTTTGAAAATAGTATGGAATTGAATAAATCTATACCATAATAGTGGGGCACATTAAGATGATTTTCGTCATTGTAATACCGATGAAAAGGCTAAATTAGTAAAGAAAATTTCATGATGCTGATGTTTAAATCAAACCATATGTATTTGCCACTGTTAATTGCCTCTTTTTACTTCAATTCAATTTAATTCATTTTATTCATTTTAATTTTCAATAATAACAATACAAAGGTATATACATGTACAATGATAAGCATTTGCAATATATAAGAAAATGAAAATAGGGAATTAAAAAATAAGGCCAAATGGCCTTGTGGAGGCATAGTTCCCCGAACGGTAGTTAAGAGATATACATTATATGCAAACAAAACTAAAAAAGAAACATACATGACAAAACATGACAGGGACATCGTTCATGGCAGGTAATACAAATGGAAATAATCATTACAAAATCATAGGTTCGAAAAGAGTTTTAGGTAGTACTGTATGATATGAATATGGGTTCAAGAATTACTGCTATTTAGATATAAGATGCTGCTTCAATTTTCGTTCAAATAATGTTAAAGACTTGCATGAGGATATTTCAGGAGGAATAGAGTACCAAATAACAGGAAAATTGGATTACGCATCGTAATTCAACCGCAGGAGTTTGAGGTAAAGGAAAGTGGAGCTGGATGGGAGAAAATTCGACAATTTTAAATTAACATAATTATGATAGCTCGGTGATTATTGTGACATGTAAGAAGACGTATTTTATCATTATATTAACATAAATAAAAGTAGATGCACTTTAAATAAAGAAGATTTTTTTTTAAGGAAACGCGATAGATATGCGATATAAATAAACATGAAAATAGGCCTAAATGTCACAGACTGTTGAGAAATCAATCTTAATTCTAATTGTCCTGTCTGACACATTTTGTGATGTGAGGACTCCATCTCAATGACGATTATGTTTGTTTATTATAAGGGGTTAGGACAACGTTCAACTGGTTGAATTATTGACAGGCCGATTAAATGTGCTTTATTTATTTATTTATTTATTTATTTATTTATTTATTCTCCGCTCATGGGATGGATTGCCCTTGTTAGCTATAAGCTGTTTTTCAATGCCCGTTGTATTTTAATGTCAATATTATGCAATGTGTTTTGTTTTGCTATCTGTTTGTACGGCAATAAGTCGATTAGTTATTCTTATCGTGTGTATCAGTCTCACAGCCCCCCCCCCCTTCCCGTTCTATCAGCTGAACGACAAAAAGAGTGACACAATTCGTCACACCTAGTAAATATCCCCCCCCCCCCTCATTTCTACCATCTAAAATGTGTTTGGGGAAACGTGTGCAAAAATGATACATTTTTTGCAAAGCATTTAAACTCCATAAGGTGCATTAATGATAAAGTCTTTAGTTTTCACATGAACCTGTTATCAAAAACAAAACAAATAGATTATTTCAATATAGTGACGTCAACCAGCTTCTTCTACCGTCTTTGAAAGAATCTTTGTTTAACTCTCTTTAATGGAGATGATTGGGAATCCACTTTTCGGGAGTGTCATTTGACCACTCCCTCTAGAGTTGAATCCATTCCAAACAACAGAGAAATCCACTCTGAAGTAGTGATTGAAAGACTCATTTAAGATGGGATTTCATTATTTCAAGCCTGTATTTCCATTCCAAATGATATAATCCGTAATATGACTCCCCCCAAAATGAATTTCCACTCCTGAACAATTAGGGAGTACCTTAAAGGTTTGTTGATCGTTTCAAGCGCCTGCTTGAAAGGAAAAGCAATTTATGCACCGGTATTTTCCCCAGGACCCTTTTCTCCATTCCACGGACAAAAACATCATCGAGGCAATGCCATTTTGAAGAGGAAATTGAACGAAATTGGACAACCATGTTCCCTGCATATACATGTACACAACTGTAACATGCAGATCTGTGTACGATCAGTCTAAATTAGATATCAACATAGCAAGCAATTACTATACTGACATGTACGTCATGGGGGTTTAATGTTCCGGGGAGTCGCACGTATTTACAGTGGGCACTTTAAAGATGAAATGCAGGTTGGACAAGGTAATGGATTCAGTTAACTTTAACTTTTAAATGACTCTGTATTTTAATTCAAATCTT